CCTAACTTAATGATATCTGCAAAGGCTTTGCTGTGTCAGGTAACATTTACAAGTTCCATGAATTAGAACTTGTTATTTCTAGGGCTGTTATTCAGCCTACTAGGGTATTTTAGGAATTAAATACAGTAATGGAACAGCTCCCCAATTGGGTCTAGACTCAGCTTTTGGTTAACTGCACATATAGCTTTCCTTATTTCTGTTCCTGGAGTTACCTGACTCTGTCTCCTGCTTTTGTGGCAGTGCAAACTTTGATCTGTAATCTGTTTGTTGTCTGGATTTTTCCTAGGCTTGTTGTATATAATCCAGGTTCTTTCGTTAGTTGCATACAGGTTAAAAATGTTTCTAGTTGAAGGCTGACAGCTACCTTTACCTTTGCAACATCCTGTAGGGCATTTAAGTGCCAAGTGAGATGTCCATTTCTTACCTAACTGTTCTCTTCATATTCTGGAAGCCCTTCCTCTGTTCAGGCTTGTTGCCTGCAGCACAAAGCCCCTTAAGTTCGTGATCTTTGCTTAGCTCTTCCCTGTTCCCTCTGGGGAACTTGACACTGCAGGCTTTTTCCTAACCCTGGAATGCTCTTGACTTGACAGTGTATTCAGCTGTCACTTCTCACCATGCTAGATGCAGGGGTTCTCAAGGCTTGAAGGTTTCTAAGGCTATGCTTTGAGTTACCCAACAGTCTTTCAATTTATCTAAGGTCTTACCACTCTAAAAGGGTTCTAGTTTTGCAAATATCCAAATATGGGGTCACTTGGGACCATCATCATGCTAGATCCCTCTGTTTCCACTTGACCTTGTCCTCCATTAACCCCTAAACTTAGCTCCTTTTCAGGAAGATTGGGATAGATCCCTATGTGAGGCAGTAGTCTTCTGGCCAGATATGATTCTCCAAAAGCAAAAATACTCACCAAATAGTGATACCATCTACTTTGAAACTCAGAAACCTTGAAGATGCCTCTGTCATTTTTTCTCTCTTGATGTAACGTTTCTTGAGACCAAAACACAAGCTACTTCCTTAATCAGAGAGAAAGGTTACAGGTACAAGGAAATGCTGCTAGCAAAAGAAATAAGCAAGCACCTTGATTAATACCTTGAAATTTTCTCCCACTGCAGTTGCAAAGAATATAGGTACAATGTTTAGCAGGAAGCCTGTTTACTATGTGTACCTATGTTTTATGAGCTTCAAAATATCAGCTGAGTTGGTTTGAGAAATAGAAGTAAAGAGTGAAAGATTATTGGGAATGAGACTTTACTTGCTGTCTTGGTGATCACCGAATCTCCCCCCACTTGCTTCTCTTATAGTCCTCCTAGCTCATTAATGGTAGCACAGTCCTGCAACATGCTTAGGCCATGCTTCAGTGCTGTTTTGTGTTTTCCCTCTGTATTGACTCTGTATTTACTCTGTCAGCAAATCCTTTTGGAACTGTCTTCAGAGTAGATCCAGAATCTACCCATTCCTTGCCACACCCACTGTTCACATGCTTGTCTAAACCATAGCATGCGCTCCTTGGTTGGTTGCAATAGTCTACTACACAGTCTTCGTGCTTCTGGCTTTGGAACATTTAACATCGGTTCTCTACTCAACAGGAAGCAAGACCCAATTTAAAGCATGTTGGTCCATATTATTTCCATAGTCAGTACGGTTTGTCATGTAACTCTGCAAAAGAGCTGAATCCTGATTTTGGCGCTTTGTACAGCCCCATCTCGTCACCATTTCTTCTCCATCCTCTTCTCTTGGTCCTCTCTCCTTTGCTCACTCAGCTGTAGTCACATAAACCTTGCTGTGCTTTCCACATACTGGCCTTGCCGGTATCTCAAGGGCTTTGTTCTTTCTCTTTCTCTCGGTATCTGCCTAGCTTGTGCCTCTTTTCCTTCTGATCTTTGTTCAGATATTACTTTCACCATAAACCCTTTCCTGGATCCTTTTCTCCTGTACCTTTAGCATGTCCTCTCTCTTCCTTCCTCTTTTTATTTGTAGGGTTTTTGCCAGTGTTTAAGATGCACATGTTATTTACTGTCTATCTTCCCATTATAGTGAAATCTCTATGAAGCCAGATGTTTGTTATTGTTCAGTCCACTACAAAATTGTCAGCTCCAAGAGGAGTGTCTGACACCTTGTAGGCCTTTGGTAAATATTTTTTAATAGATGATGAATAAGTTATAGTTGCCAGACTACATGGATTTATCTTGGAACAAATAGAAGTAAACAAACTTTTTCATCAGGATTTACATTGACACAGATGTTTTAGAGGGTTGCTCAGATATCAGTGTCCAGGATGGATTGGAAGAATGGGGAATTTGGAGGTTTGGAGAATAGTTAAGAAAAGACACAGGTCCAAATTGAAGTGTGACAGCTGGGTGTGGTGGCACATGCTTGTAATCCCAGCACTCGGGAGGCTGAGGCAGGAGGATCATGTTGCAAGTTCAAGACCAACCTGGGCTACATGGTGAGCTCAAGGCCAGCCTGAGCTGCATAGCAAGATCCTGTCTCAAAAAGACAAAAAAAACCCCAAAAAGACATAAATTGAAGTGTGCCTCTGGGAACTGGTATCGGGGAGGGTTGTGGGTTGTGAGGGACATGTGGAAGAAGAGCAGCTGATGGCTGGGTCTGTCAGGAGTAAAGGACACAGAAGTGTCGTAGAGAAAGATTCAGAGGTGGATTTTTATTCTGTATTTCTCTTGGAGAATGAAGTAAAAACAATAATCGCAGTAATGGAGAAGGGAGAATTTAGGATGCACAGGCACGTTGAGGGACGTGAACAGGAAGATGACTTTGTTTTGTTTTTAAGGTATTCTTGAACTTATGGTAGAATGTATATAACAAAATTTACTATCTTAAGTATTTTTTAAATATATAATCCAGTGGCATGACACTCACATTCTTGTGCAACTGCTGTGACTGTTTATCACCAGCACTTTTTATCTTCCCGTACTGAAACTGTACCAATTAAACAATAATTCCTTATTCTTCCCTTACTTTCAACCCCTGGCAATCACCATCTCACTTTCTGCCTCTCTCGAGTGGACTGTTCTGAGTACATAGAAGTGGATTCATACCACATCTGTCCTTCCCTGCCTGTCTTACTGAACACTTAGTAGAATGCCTCCAGGGTTCGTCTGTGTTGTTGCATATGTCACAATTTCATTCCCTTGTTAGACTCCTCTTTTGTGTGTATATATTCATCCCTTGATGGACGGGCAGTAGGTTGTCATTATTTGCTTTTTTTGCTTTTTGGCCATTGAGAAGGATGCTGCTGTGAGCATTGGTGTTTACATATCTGATTGAATCTCTCACTTTTTGGGTATATGCACAGGTCCAGAATTGCTGCATCATACGGTAATTCCATATTTACTCTATTGGGGAGCCACCATACTGACTTTGGTTTTAGAAAAACTGCAGACAGTGGCAGAGAATCTCCTTGGTAGGTTGAGAACATGGGTGGAAGCAACTGTAGGAAGAGATGTTGCTTCAAAGAACTTGACTAATGGAAAAGAAGAATGTGAGTTAGTTTAGTGAGGGGAAAAGGAAAGTTGAATGAAGGACCAAATCTTCAGAAAGCTTCAGAAAGAGAAGCAGGGGAGGGAGCCAGTCAATGAGACAGAAAAGGAGCAATCAGAGTTCAGAACAGAACCCTGAGTCTTGATAGACACTTAGCTCAGACTCATCCATATTCACTGAGCTCTCGAAAGAACTCCCTTTCAGGTGAATCAGCTTCTATTTAATATGACATTACTTTCAAGGTTTCGTGTGTAATAGGTCATAGATCACTACTGAGGATTGAATTTCTAAGACACAGATACTTTTCAAAAAGATCCTAGAAACACTAACTAAGAAGTTATAAAATTTCGTATTCCTTAGCCGGCTATTCTGCATTTCATCTTTTGCAATGATAATTTCATGGTTATTTTTCTTTCCAGCCTGTTTATTGAAATATGACATACATTAAGTGAACAAACATAGTTACACAACTTAGTGTCTTCTCACTAAGACATCGCATGTACCTGAGTAACCAACACCAGACCAAGAAGCACAATATTGCCCCCAACTGGTCCCTCTGTGCCTCAGATTCTCTGTATCTAGCACCATAGGTTGATTTTTCCTGTTTCCAATCTTATGCAAGTGTAGTCATGTAATACGTACTATTTGTGTCTAATTTCTTTCATTTAATACTATGTTTTTGAAAGTCATCAGTATTGTTGGGAATTTTTTATATAGACATGTATATGTCTATACAATGCTTTTAAAACACTTTATTCTTTCTCATGTCAGTGAGTATATGGGAGTTTCCAGTTTGGGGAATTTTGAACATCATCACAATTTCTTATGAAAATAGAAAATTTGCATATTATGTTTTACCTCTTTAAAGTTGCTGTTGCTTGGTTCATTTACATGTCTTTCTTACTAAGAGCCTTTCCATCTTACCTAATTATCTTCATTGTTAATATAAAATATCTTTCTTAACATTAGTCTGAGAAGTATAAAGTGCCATAAAAAATTGAGTTCCTCTAACAGATGTACCTACTTGCACGAGAATTTTCCACTTAAAGCATCTGTTTTAATTTTTTCTCAACTACTCAGATTATGTGTCTTCAATGCATATTGAACCTGTCAAAATTCTTCATCTCTTAATGAGGTGAATTGTTCAACCTTGAAATAAATATTTTAATTTTGGCACACTGATGAGTTGGAGAAAGAATAGCTTTCATGTCTTAATGCAGATTTGTTATCAAACTTGTATTGTAATTTACATAGGAATAAAAGAAGATAGAGAATTAGCAAAAGTTACATTGCAATATTTTATGTAATTTTTCTTTTCAGGTGAGTGCTTTGGTATAAAAATTCACATTACTAATTCAAAAATGATAATAAATGTTTAAGAGTTGAGTTGAAATTTGCTATCTTTTATAGAGAAATATACATGTAATCTGTTTTATATGTTTATATGGTTATACATTTATCTGTTTATCTGCCAACACACTCACTAAAGCATTCTTTACAGAGAGAACAATTGAAGACCATGAGCTGGTGATTGAGGTGCTATCTCACTGGGGAATGGAAGAAGAAAATAAGCTATACTTCCGAAAAAACTATGCCAAATATGAATTCTTTAAAAACCCAATGGTAGGTGAATTATCAATTCATAGTTCTAGAAATTAAAAGAGTGAGTAAAATTCCATGTGACTAGGATAACTATAAATTATACAAAAGGATTCTGTAAAATAATATATTTCTTAAACAATGATTAGTCAATATGATACACAGGAGTTCTGGTACATAGGGAAACATTTTAAAAAACCTTATTGAGGTTATTTTGGTTATTTAATTTAAAAGTGGTGAGAAACCTACTTTTGGGGGACCCTTGCATCTTTTTCTTGCCTTTCGGAAAAACAAAACAAAGTAAAAATTACACATTGATTTGAAAATAAACTATTGTAAGTCCTGAAGTACGTTCCAAAATACTATATTTTAAAACTTTTCATGGAATTTAGGAAATTTGTGCAAGAAACCTTATAAAATAAAAATAGATTAGTGATGTTGGGAGAATGGTAGCTTATCCAGAAACTTAAGATTGATATGAATCTTCTTGCTTCAAATTATTTTGTTTTCAATGCAATGATTTCTGAGCTAAGTAAAAATGAAATAAGGACCAGTACATTCTCCAGTAAATACTACTTTCATTATAATTCTCTTTAAAACAAAATAAATGTATGCCACATTCTAATGAAGACAAGGAATCTAGAGAAGTCAGAGTAGCCTCTGGGCTCATTATTTTAAATTGTTTTTATCTCTGCAGCTGAAGCATATTTTTACACTAAGTTTTAGATAATTGGATTGAAATGATCCTTTATGAAAAATATATGATACACACCATAATAGAATATTTTCAAACCCTGAAAGACCTCTTACGTTCTCTTTTATTTTAACCTATTAATAGAAACATAATGGGATGATCTTTGACAAAGAAAATAAGAGTTCTAATAAAAATTAAATAGAGTTAGATTTGAAGGGAAAGTGTTTTCTTGTTCCAAACCTTCATTAGAATAATTTTAAAGTCACATTTAAAGGAATATGGTTTAGTGTTCATTTCTTTGCTATATTTACTTTTTATTTAAGCAAGACTGGGCATTTGTCTTATAGGCTTGAAACTGGTTTTCAATTAGGGAGGGTGGTAATTTGACCATACCTGGGGACATTATTGATGGTTACGTCAGACCGCTGAGCAGGAGTGCTACTCCTGGGTAGAGGCTAGAATCATGCTAAATATCCTGTAATGCACAGCGCACCCCCAACGCAGAGTTATAAGACCAAAATATTAGCAGAACTACTGTCAAAAGTCCCTGTCCTACCGGAAAAACAGGAGAATATATTTTCTCAAACTTGTCTGATCATAAACTTTACCTAGGGAAATCCTAGTACTTATTAAAAACACAGAGTGCAAGACCTGCCCAGACCTACTGAATCAGAAACCCAAAGAATAAGGCCCGAGATTTGCTATTTTAAACAACTTCCCTGAGTGAATTTTATGATTAAACGAGTTTGGACAAACAGTAAGTGGAAAAGACTGGACATGGAGCTCCCTGATCGAGTCCTGGCTCCTCTGTGTTGCAGGCTCTGACCTTGTTCATAGCCTTTGCCTTTTCCTTCCTTCAGTCTTGAGTTTTTGAAACAGGTCAGCAGTATTCTAGTATTTGGTAGAGTGGTCTGAGGGACGTAGGGAAGAGATACGACAGCACGTTCACTGTCAGATTGAAAACAGTGTTTCATAACTGCACGTAGGAAGGCTCTCACGTGAGCATCGGCTGGGGCATTTGCCAGTCATTGTTCCAAGCTCTACATGTGCTCATTAAAGATGTGTGATGGTAGAGTCCAAGGACTTTGTAAAAGTGGGGGGATGGGGATTTAGCTCAGCGGCAAAAGCGCCTGCCTGGCAAGCGCAAGGTTGTGAGTTCGGTTCCCGGTACCGGAGAAAAACCAAGGACTTTGTAAAAGTGTTGGACACACTTGTTTAGAGAACTTTGGCTAATAGATTGCTATATTGATCATAGTTAAATGTTTTCTAGCATGGGTTTGGGGATAATTTAACCTATTTGTTTTTGTCAGTATTTTTTTCCAGAGCACATGGTGTCTTTTGCAACTGAAACCAATGGTGAGATTTCCCCCTCACAGATTTTGCAGGTAAAATATATTTTCATTAGAGTGTCTCAGTAAAACCATAATAGAGAAACTTTGATGTCTTTTTGTCATGCGTGGATTTTGAAATGTCATAGTTTGAATGACTAATTTTTGCTGGAGGTAAAACCAAAAAGGAAAAAAAAAACTGTGAAAGGATGCCTTAAATCAGTAATGTCCCTCATCATATTCTTCTAAGTCCTGGCTAGCTGTCTAAAGGTTTTAAACATTTCAAAATATTTGTCATGAAAGCAAATTTTCAAAGTTTTGCTGTGTGATATATGTAAAAAATTGTTAGTCTTTGAAAAATCAATATTTCCCATAAATTGCAGGCATTTTACCACGTTGATCCCTAGTACTGGCTTTTGCATTAAACACCCTCAATACAATTTTTGATAAAATAATTAAATGAAAGGCATAAGAGGAACAGAATGCAATATACATCATACTCTAACATGTAAAATAGCTGTGATGGAGTTACTTGCTTAAAATTTTAAAACAGTTTCAGGTAAATTAAGAATACTAGTGTCTTGGTTACTTTTCTCTCATTGCTGGGACAAAATACCTGATGCCCAAAATTAAGGAAGGAAAGGTTTATTTCGCTTACAGTTTGTGGAGGTTTCAGTCCATACTTGGCAGGTTACAAGGCAGAGTGGCACATGGCAGAGGGCTATAGCTCATGGCAGCAGAACACAACAAAAGCAACAAACACAAAAGGGAGGAATGGCAGTAAGCAGCCTCTTCCTCTCCCTTACATATACAAACTATCCACCCCAGGGTGGGTACAGCTCTCACACCCATAATTAATCAAACTCTAAAAGCCTACCTCATGACCTCATGAGGCTTTGTGGGGGGACACAGAGGGTTGGGACCAAAGCAAGTCCAAAATCCAGCAGGGCTAGCCTTATGTGCTGTAGTTCCATGACCAGCATCTGAAGCAGTCTGTGGCACATTGTGAGCTCCAAAGGGCTTGCATGAGTCCACCGCTGTGACACTTCTGGTGGTTACAGCTTCCATGGCTTCTCTCTGAGGCCTGCTTTGCTCCCTCCTTGCAGCTTCCCTCAGATGATCCACAGTCCTTGCTTTTCCAAACTTCTGGGGTTTCCAGTGCACCTTTTGCTTCACACTCACAGCCTCACACACTGTCCTCTCAGGGGCACACTGCCTGGCCTCCCAGGCCTTCTGAAATCTGGGTGGAAGCCTCTTTAACCTCAGAACTCTTGCATTTGCTATGCACCTAAAGCCAGGGCCATGGGGATGATGCCAAGGTCTGCTGCCACCTGGAGCAATAGCCAAATTTTCCTCCCTCTTGGCCACAGGGGTTGAGTGCCTGGATCGCTGGGCACTCTGAATCCAATTCTGAGGAGCAAATCCTCTATGCTGCCGCCATTCTGGAACCTGGTGCGGCAGCCACCACCATTCTGGAACATGGCACTCAGTGGCTTTTTTCTCAAAGCAAGGTCTTTCACCTTTGCAGTTTTGAGGCTGCAAAGGGTGGAGACTTGCTGCTTGCAGTGCTGCCCTCAGACCATCTTTTCCATTCTTTTGTTACTTCTCAGCAATAGAGATCTCCTCAGCCTTAACTTTGCAGTCCACAGCTTTACTGGAGCTTCCTTTCTGGCCAAACTCACATTTTAAATCATCCTGCTGGGCTCTTTGCTCTTGATTCTCAATATAAATCTGGCTAAAAGCCCCCAACAATATCCATGCCACTGCCCCAAGGTTTGACTGCCTTGAAATTTCTTTTGCCAAATTAATCAGTCCGGTGCTGCCCTTAATCTCAGTCTCAGGCAAAGTCTCTGGACACGAGCAAAATGAAGAAAACTTTCTGCCAAGCCATAACACACATCATCTGGAGTCCAACAACCAATACAGTCCTTCCCAGCAGAAACCTCCCAAACCCGGTCTTTACCAGCAGGATTTCTATCAGCCTTCTGGTCTTCCGAGCTCTGACCAGAATCTCCCAGACAGAACAGCCAAAAGTGTTCTAGTACTTCTCTTTCAGGCGACATCTCTGAACCTTTCCATACTCTTCCCACAAGCCATTTCCAAAGGCTCTTGAACCACATGGTCAGATATAGTCACAGCAATGACTCCGCTCCTCTGGTACCAAATTCTGTCTTGGTTACTTTTCTCTTGTTGCTTGGACAAAATACCTGATGCCCAAAATTAAGGAAGGAAAGATTTATTTCACTTACAGTTTATGGAGGTTTCAGTCCATACTGGGCTGGTTATAAGGCATAGTGGCACAATGGCAGAGGGCTACAGCTCATGGGGGCAGAACATAGCAAAAGCAACAAGCACACAAGGGAGGAATGGCAGTAAGCAGCCTCTTCCTCTCCCTTACATATGCAAACTATCCACCCCAGGGCGGTATAGCTCTCACACCCATAATCAATCAAACTCTAAAAGCCTGCCCCATGACCACATGAGACTTTGGGGGGACTCCCAGACACAAACCATAACAACTAGTTATATAATTAAAAATGTCTTTAAATTTGTTTCTGTTGGGCTCACTTCTCACAAATTGGCATTTGTTTCACATGACCATTTTCTAAGACATTGTCATAACATTAAGTGAACAGTTTGTTACTTTAGTTTTGATAGATTCATAGATTTGGTGTCACAAGCTCTGAAGTTGTGTTGTGCAGGTTACTGTTGAGCAGTGCCTTTGTTACGGCCACTGCTTTTTGGTGGGGCCCTGGCATTCCCGCACCCACTCAGCACTGTCAGGTCATTAATGAAGATGACTTTTAATTTTTCCAATAGGTTTTGACTTTAAATATACCTATCCGGTGTTACCTATCACATGTTTTCCCTATCACATGTTTTCTCTGTAGGCTTTTTAATATGGTATATTTTATTTTCATGCTTACAGTATTTTACAAATATGATGAATCCCAAGAGATTTTTCTGAAAGCTGTTTTCCCTGTTGCTGGGTTTCCCTGGGACATGGTTTCAGAATATTAGGATAAAAGGCAGTAGCAGCTGTACCCATGGCCCCCAGATCTCAGCCCTCTGAGTCCTTCACCTCTGCACTGTAACACGGTGGTGGGAAAGTCAGTCTTCTGCCTTCTTTTCCGGATTCTCCTATAGTATAGTTATATTGCTTTAATGTTAAATTATAAAAACAAGAAAAATCATAGTCTTTGGAATCAGATAGTCCTGCATGTGCCCCTGACCTCTTCTCTCCGCGGAGGCAGTGTTTCCACTTTTTAAAAGGTTTCTTCTTTTTCTAGTGTGACCTCTATGACTCTCTTTTTAAAATTTAATTGGTTTGGTTTAATAACTTGGAAAGCACTCAAACTAAAAAACCTACTTGCCTGTTTTGCATGTCAATTAATTAATATCTGTAGCTCATTAAATTTGAAAATTTTTAGCAATTTATTTAAAAATGTAAATATTCTATCGTTCCCCTGAATAGTCTTTTAAAATATATTACATTGTTGTAGTTAATTTCTCTTACTTTCATTTTTTCCATTTTTGCGTTTGTTTATTCATAGTGATTTCTATTGTCTTCTTTTAATGAGACACTAATGCATTTCTGCTGTCTTATTAAGGCGCTGAGTGTAGCCCCTCACACAGAGCCCTTCCTTCCTGTTCTCCCTTTCCTGACAGCCATGCCTGCTGTCTCAGTCCATTAGTACCATGCCACAGACTCTTCCAAACCTTAGTGGCTTAAAGTACCCACTCAGATTTTGCCAATAAATTTTTTTTTTTGGTTTTTCTCCGGTACCGGGAACCGAACTCACGACCTTGCGCTTGCCAGGCAGGCGCTTTTGCCGCTGAGCTAAATCCCCAGCCCCTTTTGCCAATAATTTTGAGGGGCAGATTTTTGGGAAGAGTTTTCTGGGAGGGTTGTTTCTGAAGCACTGTGATCGCCCTGCCTGTTGATTGAGGGCTCCCTTCCTAACTGCTTTTTCACTACATGTGCCTTGCTACTTCTGGCTCTTTCTCTCTCTTCACGTTCTGCCTCATCCTCCAGGGCTCTTCCTTTTTCACTGGGCTTCTCATCATGGGAACCTTCAGTGATCACATTTCCCGAGTGACAGCTGACTTCCAAGATTGTTGAAGCTGTCCTGCCAGGACTATATGTACAGCCTGATGACTGTCACTTCCACCGTATTCTATTGATCAAAGTAGTAGCAGCCTCAATCAGATTCAAGGGAGTGGAGAAACAGATGCAACTTTTTATGGCTCAATGCTAAGATTGGATAGCAGAAGAGCAAGTAGGATGGAAGATATGGTTGCAGTACTCTCTGAGAAACACAACCTGCCATACCACCCATAACAGAATCACAGAACACAAAGAAGAGGTTGTATGCTTAACCTTCCTGAGGGAGGTGAACGTGGCTCACCTTCTTGTGTAACAACTGAAGTCAGAATTGTGGTCTTATACAGTATAGCAGTGATGTTGATAAATAAACCTATAATCTCTGGGAAAATCATGCAAAAGGATGAAAAGTATCAGGACTTAATTCTATGCATGTCCAGCTTTTCAAGTAGACATCCAAATAGTTTATAGTTTGTGTTTAGCTAAGTATTGATCACTTAGAATATATATTTTGTGAACACTTTCATTTGGAACTTGTCTCGGGCTTCTGAAGGACTTGTTTTCTATTTTACATACATTATGATTTTAGTAATGATATGTGAATAATAGTGACACTACTTGTTTTTACATATTCATATTTAATTGGTAAAAGTATTATTTAAAAAAGTAAGTATTATAAAACTCAGTAAAATCACCTGAATTTTCTTCCAGATGTTTATAAGTTCAAGTACATACCCTGAAATCCATGGTTTCTTACATGCAAAAGAACAGGGAAAGAAGTCCTGGAAAAAAATTTACTTCCTTCTAAGAAGATCCGGTTTATATTTTTCTACTAAAGGGACATCAAAGGTAAATTGAGGTACCTGGAGTGTGCTATGAATGATATATTAGTTTTAATATTGATCTCTTTATTATTTGATGTCCAGAGTTGGTACTTTTTTTGGATCCTGAACATAAATATCACAATTTGTTTAAAAATTGCTGTTTTATTTCATGCTAATTTCTATATATCTTTGATGGAGTCTGGCTGATCTGACTTCATACCAGATACTTGGCTTATTTTTCCTCACCCTGAAGTCCTCTCCTCTTATCCAAGACTGCAGATTTTGAAGCCCAATGTAGTATATACCTTTTCTTTTCATCCTAGGTCCTATGACTAGTCTTGCTGCTTCCAAACTGCTGTGAATCAACAGGGCAGGGCAGTCAGTAACACTCAGCTGCGTCCTTTCTTGCTCTGTAGTTACTTTGTGTGTGTTCTTTTATTTCTTTACCTAGAAGAGAAATTCCTAGAGAAAGTTACCATGTTATGATCAGGGTTGGGTGGATGTTCTTATTTGTTTGTTGCTGTATCCCTACGTCTGTGCACACCCTTACACGGATACACATGCACAGATGTCTGCATCCACAAACGTAATCACTTACACATATATTTTCCACAGTGCCCAGCCCTGTGCACTCTGTTTCTTTACAGCTAGTCCATGTCCACTATGCCATATGGTCTGTGGTTTATAACTGTTGAAATTTTGCGTAGTGCATTGGTATCTTTCCAGTAAAAATGGTTTTGAGTTTTCATGAGAGGTTCTTATCATTCTGTTTTCATGTATTTGTTGTTATCAGTAACAACGCTGTTGCTTCCTTATGGATAAACTGGCATTTCTCTCTAGCTATTTTAAAAGTAATCTTAAATTCATTAGTGTTCAGAAGTTTATATGTTGTATTGTTAGGTGTGTTCTAATAAGTCTACTATATCTTACTTGATTCTCTGCACACACATTCAGTCTGCAGACTTACAGTCTGTTACACTAGGAATATTCATTAATTGTCTGTTTGACTTTTTCCCCATTTTTATTGTTTGATCTTTTAAGTTCTCAGTCTTGATTAGTCATGGCTCCAGATTACCTTGGCTGTGTCTAACTCCAGTTTTGCTTTTATCTTTACATGGCTTTCTCTTCTTCGCTGTGTCTTATATGAGGACACTTACTGTGTTTAAGGCCCACTTGAATAATCTAGGATGATTTTATCTTAAAATACCTTAAGTACATTTAAGATCTGTAAAGACCTTTTTCTAAATAGGGTCCCATTTACAGTTTCCAAGACATGGGCATATCTTTTGGGAGCTACTATTAACCCAGTACAGAAAGTCACTGAAAAAGTTTTTAACAAAAAGGATGAAAGATCAAGAGTATTTTAATATGATTAATGTGGCCTTAGGAGGTTAAAATCTCCTAAGAGAGAGAGAGAAAGAATAAGAGAGAGAATAAGAAAGTGAAAGATTGATTGATTGATCGGTCAATTGATTGATTAGTGGCATGGATGTTGATGATTATTTCAGTAATCCAGGTGGAGGAGAAGGGATCTAACTGGGGATGAACAGTGGTAAGCAGAATAAAGGAATGGTTATAATGTTAAATGTCAAATGACCGAATTTGGGTGACTGATATAAAAGAAGAAGAAGGAGTTACAAATGTTTCTAGAGAAAGAGATAAAGGAAGAAAAGGAATAGAAAATGATAGAAGAATACTCAGGAACAGGAGGCTCACTGGAAGGTCACTCTGTTGGAAGAGTCATCCTGTGTGTTGTACCAAGGATGGAACGTCTGGACGGAAGAGCCCAGAACGTAGCTAATGATGAGGACCAGATATTTGGGTAATGGTCCAGTTTGGGAAATAGGGCTGCAAAGGAGTGATATTTGGCTCTTTTCTGTATTTTCCTCAACAACTCTTCCTTAGTCTTCACCTGCCCTTTAAATAGTTTTCCTTTGCTGCTGTTTTGTGTGGGGGTATGTATGTGTACATGTGTGTGTTTTGCTCTATAGTATAATGTTTCATGGAGTGGGACTATTAATTTAGTAACCCATCCATTCACAAAAATCTTGTATTTAAAGTGTGTGTCACTTGTATACTGTATACTTTCACATAGACGGACTTGACTTACCTTTCTAGAACATTAAAGTACTTGTCAAACTTTGTCATCATAAGCAATGTTAAGTCACTTAATCGCTTTTGCTGTATTTTAGACTTGTCAGACATTTGAGAGAGGTTACTCTTTTCCTAGTGTTTCTATGCATGCAATAACCTACCAGGTGTTAGTCGTTATTCAACAAATATGTGTTGGGTTCCTGTTTTACTTTTAACATCAGAGGAAAAATAGCTGTTAAATCCAGTAAGTCATGTTTATCTTATTCTCATTTCAGTGATTCTTCACAGGAAGAAGTGAGAACCCTCTTTAACTCCTTTAGTCTTCTTCAGCAGGTTGCTCAGTAAAACCCACTGCCAATGATATTTTTACTGGTTCCTGACATTCCCTCAAGGCTTCTTTCCCATTGACCTGTTTTAAAGTACTGTCTTCTTTTTAATGCCAGTCGGTTTAGCAGCTGAGCTGTCCTCTGCTCCATCTTTGCAAGCCCCCCAACTTTACCAGAGCTTTCTTTTTGGACAAACTCAGAAGCTTTTTAATGAATCAACTGGGCTGTTTGCTCTTAATTTGCATTGTAGAACTGGTTAGAAGCCTGCAGCAGTACCAACACCATAGCCTGTATGTTTGGCTGCATTGAAATTCCCTCTGCCAGTTTAATTAGTCTGCCACTGTTAATCTCAGTGTCCTGCAAAGTCTTAGGACATGAGAAAAATAAAGACAAATTTCTGCTAGAGCACAACACATATGAGCTGGAGTCCAACTGCCAGTGGCACTGAGGAAGTAACTCCCATCCATTTAAATCTGAACAGCATCCGTGGTCCATTCCTCCTTTCATTGTCCTAAGAGATGTGGAAAATAAAAAAAAACCCAGGAGATTTCTAATGTGCTAGGTGAGTGCACATGGGCGTTTGACCTCCTAGCCGGACCCTCAGTCACCTTCACCCTACTCAGACCTCATTCAGTGTTCATAAATATGTACTACATATCATACGTGTAATTCAGGTCACAGTGAATTCTTGGATGAGCATGCATATTGAGAGCCCCTGTAAAAACACAGCACCTTATTAATCATTCCTGTCCATCACACTTAGAGATTCAGGAGGAGGAGCCTGAGCTGAAGTGCATATCGTTAAGTTCTAAGCAGCTGTTGCTATTTCCACGTGCATGCAGTGCTTTTCTGTCACTCTGGCACTATTTTTCTGTGTTAGTATGGACTTGCCCTGAGCACAACCTCCCATAATCTTTAATAAACGTAGCTGTTTACCACTTGCTACCTGGTGTATGTGCGCAATTCATTCCTTGCCATGTATGAGAGCCTATCTCCGCCTATCCCACTATAATACTTGCCAACTAAAACTTCTTGAACCTGGTCTTTTCTGGCAGCATATTTGCCAACATTCTTTCTGGTCTTCTGAATCTCTATCAAGCGTGTCACTCACAGCATTCTAGGGCTGCTTCTCCAGCCATCATCACACCTTCCCAAACTCTTCCCGTAGGGCAGTTCCGAAGGCTCTGAACTGCATGGTCAAGTAGCATCCTAGCAATGACCGCACTTCTCTGGTACCAGAATCTGTCTTAGTTACTTTCTTGTCACTGGCACACAGTACCCAGCGTTCACAGCTCTAAGAAGGAAGGGCTTATTCTGCCTCGCAGTTTGTAGAGGTTCAGTGCGTAATTGCTGGCTCAAAGATAGGGCAGCCTGAGAGGGGCATGGCAGAGGAGGCTAACTCACTGCCTGGCAGCAGAAAGCAGAGAGAGGCAAAGGGAGGAAGGGGGTAGATATATCCATCCAGGTTACGCCCCCAGTGACCCACCTCCTCCCTTACATTTAGTTATAAATTCATTAGTGGACTAATCCACTAGTGAGTATCACCCCCATTATTTAACCAACCCGCAAAGTCCCACCAATGAGTGTATGAGGCTTTGGGGGAATATCTAGTTATAAGCCATAACATCTTTGATAATTATTACCTTAATATCAAATATGTAACCTATCTAACTTTAGTGTGGCATTTCTGCTGGCAAGGAGACCATTCCAGTTTCTTTCTATGAAAAGTCTTCATGTTGTTTTCTAGAAATGTAAAGGCAGCATAGGACTTAGTAACTAGTACTTCAAGCCTTAGAGATACGCCTTTGTGTTATCTTTACAGAAAAACCTCTAAGTGCCCGTCTTTTAGTCTGGTGCTTTGTATGTGCATGTGTGTGTGCATGTGCATGTTTAGATTTGCTAGCCATGAGCTCAGCCTTAGAGTCTTACAGTGGCATAGCCTTGGTGTGCCTTTAGTAGTGGAACAAAGTCAACAGGGATAAGAGCCTCTCATGCTTCTCACTGCCTTCCAGTGTTTCTTAGCCTGCCTTTTACTTCCACAGGAGTGACTGAGCTATATTGATCCTACATTTTCAGAGGAAAGAGATAATTTTCCTCCATCTTCCTAGCAATCAGACATTTTTTATAAGCAAACAATTTCTACCAAGAATAAAGTTTTAAAAGAAAGGTATTTTACGATACCTCTCTGCTTCCTCTTTTATTGTTCCAGAGTCCTAAGACTAGGTCTTTTTTGTTTGTTTGAGACAGGGTCTTGCTATGTGGTTCAGCTGGCATTGAACTCACTCTGTAGTCTGGGCTGACCTTGAACTTGTAGAGTGGACTCTACAAGTGCTGAGATTACAGGCATGCACCACCATGCCTGGGGAGGCTCTTTTTAAAAAAATTATCTTCACTGCCTTATGGTCCAAAGGACCATAGTCCTTCATTAGATTAAAGTGCTTAAGAAAAATGACATATGGTGAATTTCTTCCTCACCCGGTCCTCAGAGTTGGAACTGGTAAATGATAATGACATTTCTTTGGATTTGGATAGGTTTGCTCATATTACCGAATATTCTGGGTGTTCCTGTGTGCCTGTGCATATGTGATTGAGCACGGCTACTAAATTGGAGTGCACATAGCATCACCTGAGAGACTCTGTATCTCTAGCAAGTCCCCTGGTGCTGTGGATTCTGATGGTCCAAGATCACTCCACTGGTAGCAAGGTTTCTGAGAATAAATGCATTTTGGCCACTTTTGATTATACCTTCAAACACAGAGTTAAACACTTCTCCAAGTTATTAACCTACCATAGAATAACATGACCCAATGATTTCCCATGACCAGCTCCAAATCTCGTGCATTTCCCAGAGAATAAATAGCTGTTCATGGTTCCACTTTATCTTGAAAATCAGCCAGATTCCACCGCAGTTGATTTCCCTAAACTGATCTGTACAGGGTTCCTTCTTCTTGTAAAGCAAGGTAGTTATGTGCCCTGTCTTGTTGTTTGCTGTGGTGTGTTTTGTGGAGCGAGGAATGGTTGTATCTGAAAAAAGCAGGAATCATCTCGTTCTCCTTCTCCTTCTCTAACTGCTACAGAAGCTAAAACCAACTCTTCCTTTTGAAAAGTTGCCAGTCTCTTAAATGGGGATTAAAAAGAAACAATTTGAAAAGCCATTCTTTGCTATCTTTTTTTGTCTTTCAGATTCCTTGAAATGCTGATTATAGAGAATAGAAAGTTTAAAAA